ATCTGATGTTGAATTGATAGAATCTGTCATATTTGTCAAAGAAACAGTTATTTCGGTAGGCAAAGATTCTGTTGTCATAACTGATGACAAATTTATAGAATCTGTCATATTTGAAAAAGAAGCAGTAATTTTGATAGTAAAAGATTCTGTCGTCAAATCTGTTGATGACGTTATGGAATCTGTATTATTTGGGAAGGAATCTGTAATTTCGTTAGTTAAAGATTTTGACGACAAATTTGATGATAAAGTTATATAATCTGTTATATTTGTAACAGAATCTATAATTTCGGTAGTTAAAGATTCTGTCACCAAATTTGATGATGAGTTTATAGAATCTCTCATATTTGTAAAAGAAGCAGTAATTTCCGTAGGCAAAGATCCTGTCGTCATAGCTGATGATAAATTTATAGAATCTGTCATATTTGTCAAAGAATTAGTAATTTCGGTAGATACAGATTCTGTCATCATATTTGATGATAGAGTTGTAGAATCTGTCATATTAATGACAGAATCTGTAATTTTGGAAGTTAAGGAGTCTTTCACCAAATATGATGATAAATTTATTGAATCTGTTATATTTATCAAAGAAGTAGTAATTTTCGTAGGCACAGATTCTGACGACATATCTGATGATGAATTTATAGAATCTATTCGTTTGGCTGTGACGGCTTCTGTCGATATGTTATTCGATAATGTCAAAGGATTTGTAGATGTAAGACTTGATTGAGTTTGTGCTGTTTTCCTCCCTGCTCCCATTGTAAACATATCGGTTCCTGTGTCTGTCGTGAAATTTTCAAATATATTCAAATTTTCTGCTATTAGCGTGGAAATCTTGGATCCTGAAAATAAATACGCGACTTTGTTACAAGAAATATGTGTGTGTTGTGTGTTGTGCGTGTGTGTGTGTGTGTGTGTGTGTGTGTGTTTGTGTTTGTGTTTGTGTGTGTGTGTGTGCGCGCGCGTGCGTTTCTGATTAAATTCTTTTTTGTTAATCAACAATATAGTTATTATTAGTGAGAGTTTGTTTTGTACTGTTTACATTATTCGGATTATTGTACTAATCTTTGTCGCCATATTTATCACAACGTTTCGGCCGTTGTACGCTCCGGCCTTCTTCAGGTGGTTGGAATGTCGAATTGAAATCTTTATTTCGCTCACTGGGGTAGACTGCTCTACTTCCACGTGCCATGTTTAATGGATGACAGTTAACAGTTATCTCCTGTTAAATTCCCTCTCCAAGTTCTCCACTGCCTTAACCGGCTATTGAACTCACATTCTTTGTGCCACGTGTCCTCAAGGCACGTGGAACTAGAATAGTCTACCCCAGTGAGCGAAATACAGGGTTCAGTTCGACATTCCAACCACCTGAAGAATGCCGGAGCGTACAACGGCCGAAACGTTGTGATAAATATGGCGACAAAGATGAGGACAATAGTCTGAATAATGTAAATAGTGTATATAATACCTCATCTCAGAAATATAGACAAAGTTTGTTTTATACTTTTTTTATTTCACTTTAGAAAATCTGTTTAGTGGATGAATCAAATTTTGTACGGTTTATTATGTTTTTTATAGTTGCGATTTTAGTAATTTGGACATTCACTCTTGTAATTAAGGGTACAGGAATTTATACTGGTTAGTTTTTTTTATATTGGGAGATAGTGCACTTGTTATTAGGGTTTATCAATATATCGAGAAAAGGAATTTTGTTGCTATTATTGAGGTTACGTGTAATCTTAAGGACATAATTATCCTGGAACTGTTTACATATTTCTTCCGTATTCTTGACTAATATAAGGATATCATCGACGTATCTCATTCAACGGAACATGTCTTAATGGAACCATCCTGCCAATATATATATATATATCTATATATATATATATATATATATATACAAGTAAAGGATTGGCGTATACGGAATAAATTCCAATAACCAACACATACTATTCTTGCTCAATACAGAGTAAAGCAAATATAATTTACTTCTGGTGTCTTATCAAGTGATGGTGTCTTTTCAAGTGATGGTGTTGAATTCAACACCATCACTTGGTAAGACACCAGAAGTGTTGAAACAAAATGGCTATTTTCGTAGTAATTTTATAACATACTTATGTTATAATTCTTGAATAAATAATTATATATATATATATATATATATATATATATATATATATATATATATATATATATATATACATGAAAGTATATTTCATTAAATAATATAGACATATTACGTCTATTCATTTTTATAATAATTCCTTCTAGTTCTCTTTTGATGTTAAGTTGAAATTCATTAAGAAAGGTGCTGCAGTTTTTGTTAACCCAAGCACATTTTTTATCTCATACGAGATCATCCTCAGGAGTGAATTTCGAAGACAAACTTAATGCAACTATAATTGTACTAGGGACGTTTGTTTACAACACACTGTGACTACATCGGTTAATTTTGAAACAATTATAGCAGAACGCGTTCGCACGTGTTTGCAAAAATCACTATTACAACGATCACAGTTACAGAGTATCATGATTACTTTAATTAAAGTCTGTACCGCCAACAAGATCTTACATATATATATATATATACATACATACATATACATACATACATATATATATATATATATATATATATATATATATATATATATATATATACATACATATATATATATATATATATATATATATATATATATATATATATATATATATATATATATATATATATATATATATATATACATACATATATATATATATATATATATATATATATATATATATATATATATATATATATATATGTACATACATACATTATACAGTATAGGGCGTTATAGGGACGATGGTCTCATGATTGTTAATGAATATACTAGAAGTAAGGTCGATAAACTTAGAAAAATAATACATAGGGTGTTTAAATCGTCTGGTCTGAACTTAATTATGAATCATAACATTAAACAAGTTGATTTCCTAGATGTTACATCTAATTTAACGATGAATAATTTCCAAACTTTATATATATATATATATATATATATATATATATATATATATAAAAATAATAAGAAAGAACAGTAAGATTTATAATCCAAGCGTTCTTAGCAATAATTTTTATTTAAAAAAAAAAAAAAAACAGTGCTCAAACTTTCTTAGAAAGTATTTCGTAACATCGCTTGATAATAGAATAAGATAAATTTTAAGTTTAATATTTATAATTAAATTCAGAAATTTACTTACAGTTTTGAAACATGGAAATTTTCTGTGTCGCGATGGAATCACACACACATACACACACACACATATATATATATATTATGTCCAAAAAGTAGTTTCACATAAATAATTAAGTAATCTATATACAGTTTAAGGGCGACTTCCGCCACTTCAAATTACTTCCTTTGTGACCTTGCACACGGCATCCTTTTAATTTTTCAAAACAGTCTCTAAGACCCTCTTTCGAGATCGCCATCAGCTACCTCATCACTTTCTCCTTAATCTTATCCACGACCTGAGAGATTTTAGTTTTGGGTAATGCCAGTAATTCTCTCTCAGAAAAAACTTATCTCTAAATCGAAATAATATTTGAGCAACAAAAGAACGAGAAAATTCAGTATAACTACTTTAGTATCATGTGATGCTACGAAAACAATTATTTATATTGTACAATTAAGAATCTTTATTGCACAAAGTAAAAACAGGATCGAAAAAATTATTCACTTTAATTAATCAGTCAGGTTATATATATATCTTTGTCATCCACAGAAAGTCTGTTTCGTAGTTCATCGGTATGGCATCAAACCAGGATCGAAACCCAACCGATTTGGCATTAGTCGGAGATTTTTCCACTGAGCTATCAGCTTCCAGCAGAGAGGAAAGTGAATGTTTACTACGTATTTATTTTAGAATAAACACGCCAGTGACTCAGAGTGCTCAATTCATAGAAGAGCTTTTCCATCAGTGTTATGATGAAACCCACCTATTCTATAGTTAATAGGCTCTCCTACCTAATATAAGTAGGAGTAGTAAGAGAAACAAGGGTCAGTCAATGTCGGACGACAGTAGTCGAATACGAAAGTAGTCAGCGAAGACAACTAGATTACTCTGCGTAATACCTATTATATCAAGTTCCTAACGTTTTGTACGTCGAACTATTTTAGGACCGATTTAGTACTAATACAAGCCTCCTCTGCAAAATAACTCCACAACAATCAGCAGTAGCAGTCACTGTCTACACACACACACACACACACACACACACACACACACACACACACACACACACACATATATATATATATATATATAATCTGGAATTTATATATCGTGTTTAACATTGCATTTCAGTCCTATCTCGCTTATGCTTTAAACCAGTCGCAAATCAGATACCTTCAATATCTGTCTATATTTTTGAGATGAGGAATTGTAATGATTTACAGTATTTACATTGTTCGGACTATGGCATTAATCTTTGTTGTCATATTCACGACATGCTCCGGCCTTCTTCAGGTTTTTGGAATTTCGAACCGAACAATTTATTTCGTCCATCCGGATAGATTTTTTTCCGGATATTTCAGTTTCAGCTATTTACCTTTAACTCAAATTTTCATGTTATGTCTCCTTGAGCAACAATCTATTCCGGTGGACGAAATAGAAAGTTCGATTCGAAATTCCAATCACCTGAAGAAGGCCTGAGCGTACAACGGCTGAAACGTCGTGAATATGACAGCAAAAATGAGGACAACAGCCCGAACAATATAAATACTATAAGTAATCAGAAACCTTGTTCACTTTTTCATAAGTAATTTGATTGTTATATGCATCTGTATAGTTGCTTCGTAGGTATCACTGGTAAAAATCAGTATAATAAATATTAGAATATAGTATATTGCCTGTATTTTAATGCAGCAATAAAATGACTGAAACAGACGATAATCAAGAAAGCAGTAAATGGGATGCTGCAGGTATTTTGTAAATTCAGTTGGAACAGTACTTACCTGTAATAATAAAGACCACCAAGAACACAGCAACAGAAAACGATTTCATTATTTAGTTTCAAATCTGTAAGAAAGGAAGAAAAAAAATCAGTTGTAATATATAAAATATTTAGAATACTTTTACCAAGAATATTGCAATCTTAGGAGTACAAAAAAATGGACTCCATACTACACATTTGAAAATTATCATGAAAATATTTTAAAGCTTTACTACCATTTACAGTGGTTTCCGTTCGATGTCAGATGATTCCCTGTTTACAGAATTTATTTTACTAAGGAATTAAAAGATTTTTTTTATTCATAATTCGACATTATTTCTTATTACTGTATATATTTTAATCGGTATCACTCCATACAAAGCAGTAAAGCCACAAAGACACAGAGCGTTGTAGAAGAATAAGGAACAGAAACATTAATAATGAGCGGGAAGGTAAAAGGGTAATCAGGAGGACTGTAGATAGCGATTGACATTGCATTTAAATTTTTTTTAGTAGAAATATTCACGATAACATGTGATGATGTGAGATCTTACTGTGCAACTCGAAGATTGATCATCATATCATATAATAATAATAATAATAATAATAATAAAAAAATAGGACCTATTACATTTTTATGGGACTTTACAATACACACAGATAGAACAATGGAAGCTAATCGCCCAGGCATCGTGATCAAAGACCACAAGAACAGAATGTGATTTCTTATTGACATGGCAGTCCCTGCAGATTGTAATGCATCTTTGAAGATTTTCAAAAATCTATCAAAATACAAGGATCTGAAAGTGGAAATCTAAAAAAAAGAAATGTGACATATAAGGGCATCAATAATTCCAGTTGTAGTTGGAGCCCTCAGATTGATTGGAAACGCTTCCGATAGACCCATTGAATGGATACCTGGTGGCCCATGCCTTAAAGAAATAAAAAAAAGTACAGATCACACATTATGAAGAGCTTTATCTATGTAAAATATGTATGATCGGTGTTTTTTTATATATATATATAAAAATGATCAGTGGAAAATGCCATGAATCTGTTTCTGACCTTATGTCTCTGGTTAGGACCCGGATGGAAATGTGCATACAATAGAAATCAAAGGAAATACTACTACTACTACTACTACTACTACTACTACTACTACTAATATTAATAATAATACAAATGTCTACTTAAAGGTTGTTAATAATATTACTGCTTTTGATTCAGGTGTTTGAAGAATTCCCGTCAAACGAGTATAGGTCACGGGCGAAAAATATTTTGGCGGTAAGATAATATCAAGCAACATGATAGAGTTTCAAAAGGAAAATTCTCCTGGGGCAAAGATAGATGAGATGAAGGTCAATATTTGATATATTTTTAAAATTCTGATCTTCAACAAATGTTTAACATCTAACCGTATCGCCATTGAAATATGTAACAAAACCTAACTTATTAGGCTACAAATATGGGGCACTTACCAAAGATCGAACTCACTATCATCACAATGATCTACCGCTTGCTAGCTACTACTCCTAAATAAGACGCCCCAAATAGGGATTTATTATTTTAGCATGATCTGGCACAAGTCTGTACGTTGCAGGATACACTGCTTAGGAATGCCAGGTGGGGTGTAATCTTGGATATGCAGGTGGTGTGATGGATAATGGCTTGGAACTGAAAATCGAAGAGCCGGAATCGTCATATTCACTTATGTGCAAATACACTTGGGAAAGGTATAAATTCCTCTTTTTCCTCCCAAACTATGGTTTAATTAGTAGAACGTGTATCAGTAAAAATTATTATTATCTCCAAAAATATCTTAAAATCTAAAAATATTTTCTGGCTTTAAATAGCATACAGAAGGTTGATAAGTCGTAAAAAAAGACAAATCAATCAAGCAAGCAAGTTAGTGCCAAACTCTGTGAAACAAAATTACTAACCACCCTGCTATGTTAACCGACTAAACATATCCCCCATATCGTTATTTGTTCAATTCAATTTAGTTTGGCGTAAGGTCATTATTGTGAGGCGCCCATGAGAAGTGAATTCAACGCTCTAACGAACTGGCCTACGAGATAATTTCGCTAACCCAGTCGCTACGGTCGGTACCCATTGGTATCCTCAAATAAATATTGTTAATGACATCATTAAAAAATATCAGCTCAGCAGAACCGAAAAAAAGAAAGAAAAAAGAATACGCATTCTTTGTTTTTTAATATGAGACGTGGAAGACATAGGCACGAATGTAATGTCTACTTTTACTGAACAGTAAAAGTCGATATATCCTAATGATAAATGACGTCATATTTACTTTGTAAATCTCTAACTGGGTGCAAGTTATGCACGTAATCCACACCCTTACAGAGCTCAGCTCACCTAACTAGTTTCTTTATACTTTCTTTTAATATTTGTCCTGTATTTGATGAAGCTCATATATGCATGGGATACGTAGATCAACTATAGAAACAAAAGTATTAAATAATGTTCTTTAGAATCGATAAGATCATCCAAGCTTTTCTGCTTCACAGATATTCAACTATTTTAATTATAATCTAAATATATTCGCAAATATAATTGCCATTCGTGAGACAAAATTATGTTGGACGTAAGCATTGCACTGCTTGTCCTAGAAAATGCGTGAGGCGGAACGCATGATGTTATAAATTAAGTAAACAGAGCAAGCATAAGGATTAATAGTATACAAGAACAAATATTCAGTACTGAACAAGAATAATGTTTGTTAGGAGTGATAAGGTCGTAGTCAAGGTTTTCCATACATACAAAATCCAATGAAAGAGTCTGTAATGTAATCAAACCTGATTTGACATTTCGACTTGAGTCCCTTTCCAACCATAGTAACACTGTCTCCTCTATACATATTTTCATGGCATTTGTTCTGATAATCTCTCCTCATCTGCACCTCGACTTTATAACTTTAAGCGTACTACTAAATTTGCGACTAGGTTTCATCATGTTACTGCTGTAATAACTACATGTAACCGTAAGTTCTTTTCTAATAGTTCTTTTTTGCGTCTCTTGCCAGTGAAACTCCCTTCCGATTTCTTGCTTCCCTGTCAACTACAATCTTTAAACATTTAATGCAACGCCAGTCGTCATCATCTGCTATTGCTGGAAAAGTAAAGAAGTTGTGCATCATATGGGATTTAAATTATGGGGAAAGATCAATATGTAAGCCATCATCGATCAATTCATAAACGACAAGAGAACGAGAAGGGAATAACTGCGTAAAGTCATGGCTGAGAGATGTGGTCGGAGAGAGGCCATTATAAGTTTTCGACTTAAGGACAATCAGATTAAATAAGTGAAACAATTAGTACATATTTAGAACTGAATGAAAGAAAGATATTTTATGCAAATATGGAGACATTTATAACCCGTACTTGTTAAAATAACGACCAGAATTGATATTTATCATTGTTATTACAATATGTTGTTAAGCTCAAATATTTTATGACGTGACAGGGGAATTTCTATAGATATTTTATTGTCGTAGAACTCGCCGTGAGTTTTATTGAATTATTAACTGAAGAATTAAGCTTCATCAGAAAATTCAAATCGGAAAACGGTGAAATTTTCATGTGTGTTTCTAGTAAATTACTATTCTTTAAAATATGTATAACATATAGGTACCTTCACAAATTGGGTATAAGTAAAGCTTAAAATGAATTTTAAAAATGAAACATCTTTCCTGAAGCTTTCAATTTAGCTTTAAATGAAAGCTAAAGGATTAAATTTACTATACCCAGTAAGCAAAATACTTTGGTGTATTTGAGACAGAAAGTATATTCATTGGAATAGAATTTCATTTTCTTCAGTTAAATCGATAACGTCAGCCATTTTCTAGACATTTGTAAACAAAACTTAATTTTCCGATTTAAAAATCTTGCAAAAATAATATATATATTTCTGAAACTTTATTTGAGGAAAATTTTCAAATTTAAAGTTAAGTTAATTGAAACAAATATTACATACTTATAGCATAACATGTTGCATAGAAGCATTTCCTAACCACGAGGTTTTGTTTTTCTGACGTATTAATCGATATATTGACATTGGATGCTGAACGTGTTCATAGTTAGGAATGGTGTAACAGACGATAAATTTCATTAGGATTTTGTTTATTTCCTGGAAGGGAAGGCAATCCTTAAAACATGTGACCTTTTAAGAACAGATTTATCGGTTGATACATCCATACTTCAGAAATTCTGTATCTATACATATATAAAAAGAAATCAAAATTCTTTGAAAAATAGTCTGGGTCTTCAGATTGTAATAAGCTTTAAGACATGATTAGTAAATACAGTTTTACTTAATAACAATATTCCTTAAGAATTATTTCATCGAAATTGACCTTTAAAAGATTAAAAGTCTTTATAAATTTTTCGATTTTCAATTGTAAAAAATGAAAACAAATCTTGTAATAATTCATTTTTCATCGAAAATATTTTTTCTTTAGACAATATTGTCCTTAATATATATTATTCATGAAATCAATTAAAAGCTTCTCTAATTAAATAATATTTTTTATTCCGTTTTTTTTTTTCGATTCATAACAGATTTTCGGTAAGATCGAATACGATTTTGTAAAAACATCTGTGATTTGAATTCTTCAAATAATTCTGCTTTTAACTAATATAATCAGTAAAAATTATCTCGATGAATTTCTCAAGCTTTCATAAAAATTAATTAATGGGGAGAAACACATATAAAATAAAAAGATTTTCTAATAAAAAGAAAATTCGAAAATAATTTTGTTCGTTTATGTATAAGTTCTGAAAAGCAGATTAAAATCTGACAATTATTTGATTTTTGCAAAAATTTCCAAATTAGTGCGTCTGTCACCGCAAAGTAGAGGCTAAAATTTGCTATGATAAAATTTAGCACAACAGCTGACGCAAGAAAAACAAGTTATTTAATCAAAATTTCGAATATTTTAAAAAGGAGTAAAAAATTTAATCAAATAACCCAAAAAATACTTTGACGTTTCCTCTTAACATAACGACTTTGACGATAAAACTATATTTTCATCATGTTCGGAGTATGTTTTCAT